AAAATATTTATCGTAAAATATATTCTCTCCGAAACGATACGTGATATGTTTTTACAACAAGCAACAATCGCTTATTCCCATGAGATTGTTCTGGCAGCTCGTATTGTAAAATACTGTCATAGGAACAAAAATAAAAATAAAGTGTAAAATTTACAAGCAAAGTGATATAAAACTTTTACAGCGTAACTTGTGATTCCGTTCGTATATCAAATTGTTATTGTTTTAACATGTTTGAAGGTGTAGTAGCGGTGTAAGAATGAAGAATATCCACTACATCATATGTAGTGTTATACTACTTACGTATCATTTTACATTATTTTAAATTCATTTTTCCATTCTGTTTCGATTTTCTGCATTCACCTCAAAACTGGATATTTTACATCACCTTTATTTCCATAGGATCCTGTAACGATTTTAAACCATAAGAACACAATAACAAATCATTTCTACTTCGTATTTTCACATTATCAGCACTTTTAAATTGGTGTCAATGGAGTCTACCTTTTTTCGATCTTTTAGCTAGTTTTCCGTAACTCTACAATCTTGGGCTTTGTGTGGGCAGTTGCGCTACCTTTTTTCCTATATCAATAATATCTCATTTTCCACTTAAATCTTATAGTTTTCTTATTATAAACCTAAAACAAAAATTTGACATGTTTTGTCTTTCTTATTTATATCGTTTCCATGGTAATTATATTCAAATTTGCTACCGATCTGTTATTCCTATTTCGATAATTCCACATAAATCCTCTTTTCTCTTGACCATTTACAAAAAATTTGCGTTTAATTTAAATAATTTTTCCGTTCTCTCTAGAAAGGTATAAAAGCCGAACAATCGGTGAAGAAAGGCAGTCTCGCTTCAGTTCGCGAATTGGAAGTATCTCCTAAAGGCCTTATCCCGGGGCCGCACTGCCCCGGGATCCTGCAAGCCTCCATTTACACGTGAAGTCTTCGGCGAAGCCTTCTTCAAACTCGGACCGCGCCACTCCGGAATCCTACAAGCCTCCATCTACCTCGGAAGTCGCTTCGAGTCTACTACAAGCGCGGGGGCCACACTACTCCGGGCACTACTACTACTTACTCCAGGCGCCGAGAGCACCTACCGCCGGCGCTACCTTTGGGCGCTGCAACTGCTGGCTCTAAGCGTTGCGCGCCCCTTCTCCAGGCGCTACGTGCGCCGGCTCCGGACGCTGCGTGTACTGGCTCCAGGCGCTGCGCGCCGTCGTTGCTAAGAAACCTACTTCTACAAGCGCAAACGGCGTGTGCTGGCTTCAGGCGCTGCGTGCCGTCGCTGCTAAGAAACCTACTTCTACAAACGCAACGTGTGTCGCTTCGACTTTTAGGCCCCACTTCAACGCTATATTCCCCTATTCTCTCACCTTTATTTTTTTTATAATCTAATTGTATTCTCACTTCATTCATCATCATCCTCACATCATTTTTTTTATAAAATTGTAAATACCTTTTATAAATTTAAATATATTGTTTTCTGGCTCTACCTTTGTTGTTTTGTTGTACTTAGGTTAGGTTCTATTTTTTTATATTTTTTTTTTATTGTCGCTTCACGACATTTGGCGCCCAACGTAAAAGTCCTCTTTCTCTCTTAATTCTTCACCTTTACTGCGCCTTGTCCATTCCCTTTTGATTTAATTGCTCTCCCTTTCGTTCTTAACTCATTATTCATCATTCATTTATTCATCCTTTTCATACCTTCCAAATTCTAAAACAACACTTCATCTAGTGTTTCAACTTATCTGCATTATATTTAGACCTACATTTCACACAACACTTACATTCATCACTTTAATATTTTTATTCTAGAACAAAACTTCATCTAGTTTTTCAACTTATCTAGATTATATTTAGACCTACATTTAACACCTTACTTACATCCATCACTTTAATATTTTTATTTTAGATAACTTAAAGAGGTATAATTTTTAATTAAATTTTTATTTCTTAAACTTAACTTTACACATAATTATAACAATGAAAAGGGTTATTAAGTACGAATTCCTTAACAAGGCCGAACTCGAATACGAAGTGAAGATTAGATATGAGGAACCAGCTAATACTGTTTTACTTCTAAAAAAACAGGTTTTGCGTTTAGTTGCGAATTCTCACCCTGAAGATATTCTGACTTCTCCAATTCCGATTGAGGATGACTTGTCTCAAATTGATTCTACTTTGACCTACTTGGACTGTAAAATTAAAAAATTTTTACAAGGCGAAACCAAATACTTGCGACTAATAGAAACTTTTATTAATCATATCTTTTACAGATTGGAACGAATAGATACTGACTTATATCCAGACTTTAAAGCTATTTTCGATACTTTGAAGATGAAATATGACGATATTACTAAACAATTTGAATCCTTGACTCCAGCTCCAACTGAAAATGACCCTCCATCACTTGACCCTCCTGTTGACCCGACTGTCACGGTTGACCCGACTGTCACGGAACTCCCTCTTGTTTCTCAAAATTCGATTCAGGTCCATACCCCGTATCCTCCACCACCACCTCAATCTTTTTCTCCAACCAACGTCTTCAAAGATCTGAAAAGACACACCTTCAATGGTAAAAGCTGTCCAAGATCCTTTCTTCAAAAACTGGAAGAATACTGTATAGCTCGTGGCTTGTCCAAAGACTTGTTGATTTCACAAGCGTTTGAAATTTTCACTGACAATGCTCTTCATTGGTTCAGATTTAAATATAATCAGAATCCAAACTTAACGTGGAACGAACTTTCTTCGTTATTAATCAAAGACTTTGGTGGTTTTGATTATGATCACAAACTTTTAGAAGCGATTAGGAATCGAACTCAAGGTCGAGATGAACCTATTGTCATCTATATTTCCATCATGTCTGGAATGTTTTCTCGTCTTTCGAAGAAACTTTCTGAAACAGAACAATTGGAGATTATTTTAAGGAATATTCGCCCATGTTATTCAGTCTTCGTAGCTCTAAAAGACATTGACTCTATCGACTCTCTTCTGGCTACTTGCCAAAACTATGAAAAATTCCTAGACAGAGACAAACAATTTAAAGAACCAAATGTACAACAAAGTCCTCTTATTTCTGAATTCAACTACAAGCATTCCACTTCAAGTTCAGTTGACTCTCCAAATTCTTCTAATAACTCACGACCCTCTCCTCCCCTCATGAATAAATTCACTCCATCCTACAAATACCCTTCTAGACAAGTTAATAGTCTCTCTCAAACTAAAGCTCCTCAACAAACCTCCTTTTGTGTTCGCTGTCGTAAACAAGGACATTCTTTGAACACTTGTACTCAACCACGATTCGTGATTTGTTTCAAATGTGGTCTTAAGGGTTTTAAAACTGCAGATTGCCCTACTTGTTCTCCCAAACCTAATACTAGTTCAAAAAACTAACTACTGACTTGAAAAGTAACTTAAACTTTGATAACGACGATTGGACTAATTGGATTAAAACAATTCAAAACTTCTTTTCTTGTTACAGAATCTCTTCTACACTCTACTCCAAGGAACAAGATCTTAATCGTCCATTCATTAATGTCAAAATTTATAACTTAACTTTATCTGGTTTACTAGATTCTGGCAGTTCAGTAACTATTCTGGGTAATAATTCTCATTTGGAAATTCTTAAACTGGGCTGCAAACTTTTCAAGTCAGATCTTATTACTGTCTCTACTCTACTCTACTCTACTAATAATCAAAAAGTTAATTCCTTGGGTTATTTTGACTTACCTATTCATTTCAATAATCAAACTCATTAAATTAAAGCTTACGTTTTCCCTGAAATTTTTCCTTCGCTAATATTAGGTATTGACTTTTGGAGAAAATTTAATCTTTTACCTAGTGTTTTATCTTCTCTTAACTTTACAGAATCTAAATGTTCTGCTATCGAAACTAAAGATACTAAAGTTTTACCTTATGAGCATTTAACTCCTAATCAAAAGAACATCGCTAATGACATCATCCAACGCTTCAAGACAATTTCTTTTGAAGAAAAAGGTATCCTGGGATGCACACACTTAATCACCCACAAGATTGACACTGGTGATTCTCTCCCAATCAAACAAAGATGTTACAGACTGTCTCCTGAAAAACAAAAGGCGTTAATTAATGAAGTTGACAAGATGCTGCGATGGAACGTCATTGAACAATGTGAAAGTCCTTGGTTATCTCCAGTTCTCATCACTCCGAAGAAGAATGGTGAATGGCGTTTCTGCGTAGACAGCAGGAAGCTTAACTCAGTTACACGTCGTGATGCTTATAGTCTGCCACTAATAAGCGAAATTTTGGACAACTTGAGGAATGCCAAATACTTATCAAGCATCGACATTGCGAAAGCATTTTGGGAGATTCCCTTGAATCCTGCTGATAAGGATAAAACTGCATTTTATGTACCTGGAAGAGGTATGTTTAGATTCAAGGTAATGCCTTTTGGTCTTTCTAACTCACCTGCAACTCTACAAAGATTAATGGATATGCTTTTTACCCCTGAATTTGAGAACAAGGTATTTTGCTATCTGGACGACATCGTTATCATTAGCGAGACTTTTGATGAACACATATCACTCCTCATGAAAGTCCATGAAAAACTTTCATATGCTAATCTGACTATTAACTTTGAGAAGAGTCAATTCTTCAGGAAAGAACTGAAATACCTTGGTTTTCTAGTGGACGAGTACGGTCTACGTGCTGATCCAGATAAAATAAAAGCTATATTAGAATATCCTGTACCTACTTGTAGAAAAGAAGTGCGAAGATTTATAGGCACCTGCAGCTGGTTCAGAAGATTCATTCCAAACTTTAGCACTATTGCCTCTCCACTCAATCAACTAACCTGTTCCGGGAAGAACGCTCCTAAATTTCTTTGGAATTCACAAGCTGCAGCTGCTTTCCAGAAACTTAAAGAAGCTTTGGTAACTGCTCCTGTCCTTGCTTGACCTAACTTCGAAATACCCTTCTCTGTACATTGTGATGCATCAAACTATGGCATAGGAGCAATGCTTACTCAACATCAAGATGACAAAGAAGTCGTGATTGCTTACATGAGTAAAGCACTAAAAAAAAATCAACAGAACTACTCAACTACTGAAAGAGAAACATTGGCTGTAATAACTGCGTTAGAACATTGGCGATGTTACCTAGACAATGGTAAAGAATTTACAATATATACTGACCATGCTGCACTTAAATGGTTTCAGAACTTATTGAATCCATCAGGAAGACTTGCTCGCTGGACATTACGCTTATCTTGCTTTAACTTTGTCCTGAAACATAAAAAAGGAAAGGATAACGTTGTTCCAGATTTATTATCAAGACATAAGAATCAAGAACGTCCTGATACACGAGAAATTTCACCTCAAGGCGTACATCCTATTACGATTGAAGAACCACCCGATCGTAAACTTGAGCACTACAACAAGATTTTTCTCGGATGCTCCAACAAACCAAACTCATATCCCAACTATACTATCAGGGATAACAAACTTTACCGCTGCATCCATTCTCCCGATCGTCTAAACGATGACTTTATTTGGAAAGAAGTTCCACTACCTCAAGATAGACATGCAATTATTGAAGTTAACCATGGTTCCCCTTCAGAACTCCATCTTGGTATCTTCAAGACATTCAAGAAAATATCTTTGGTATGTTTAAGGATTTTGCCAATTTAATCTCAACTTGTGAAACCTGCTTAAACTACAAACACCCTAATCATTCTCCCTATGGTATTATGGGTAAACCTAAACTTTGCTCCAGACCTTTTCAAACTATATCCTTAGATCTTATGGGTCCATTGCCTATGACTCGAAGACGAAATCAGTATATTCTAGTAATTAACTGCAATTTTACTAAATATACTATGATTTTTCCCCTTAAACGTGCTACTTCAGCTAATATTATTAATGTTTTGGAAAATTCAGTTTTTCTAGTTCATGGCATTCCCCAAACTATTATAATGGACAATGCTGTTCAATTTCAGTCGCGAGAATTCCACTCATTCTTAAATTCTTATAACGTTCCTTTTATTTTTCACACAGCTTTATATTGTCCTCAGGTTAATCCTACGGAGAAGTTTAATAGTACAATTATTACAGCTCTAGCATCTCTAGTAGGAGACGATCATAGATCATGGGACAACCATCTTACTAAGATTCAGTACGCAATGAACAGCGCTACAAATGTAGCTACTGGCTTTACTCCAAATTTTTTAGTCTTTGGTAGGGAAACAATACCTTCTATACTCCAACTCAGAACCTCGAGGAATTAATATTTATGCCTCGTGATATTTACGCGTCTAATGCTGGTCTTCTCTCATCTATCTTTCACAAAGTTCAAACTAAACTTTACATAGCGCACGCTAAAAATAGCGCTCGCTATGATCTTCGCCGGGCTTTTAAAGAATTTAATGTGGGAGATACTGTTTGGCGTAAAAATCATGTTTTAAGCAATGCCGGCGCATACTTTAATGCTAAACTTGCCCCTAAGTTCATCAAGTGCAAAGTGATAGCTAAACTGTCACCACTAGTCTATGTACTTGAAGACCCTAATGGAGTTAGAGGCAAGTGGCACATCAAAGATGTAAAATCATAAATTTTCTTAACTTTTATTAACTATTAATTTGTATATATGTATAAATATCACCATCATTCTCACCTTATTATTTTTATTTCTTTTAATTTGTTTGTTTGTTTGATGATTCAGTGTTCTTCAACACATCTTGCTTTAGGACCTCGAACTTTCGTTGGTTAATCGTCACTTTTTATTTTTATTTCAGACACATCTCGTTGGTGATGTTGCTGTTTTCTGGCTTTGAGCCCTACCGCTCTGGCCGTTCTTAATCTTTACTTAATTCATAGCGACTAAAGCTTACTTGAGGTATTTCTTTATCTTTATCTTCACTTGGGAGCGGCTGATTACTCCCTTAATAATGTTTTTTTATCTTCACGCAGGAGCGGATGACAACTCCTTAAATAAGCCTGAATGTCCTTTCGAAAACACACTTTTAAGAGTGGTGTTTCTTTGACTAATTTATTTTTTTTTCCACGCAGGAGCGGATGACTACTCCTTAAATAAGCCTTAATGTCGTTTTGAAAACACACTTTTAGAGTGGTAGTCATTGAATGTGAACTCCACCCTTACCTGAACGGCAGATGATGAATGTAAGAGATGGTATATCTGATTTTGCCTGGTGATGTCTGTTTCTGCAAAGCTGTGTTTTTATGGTTTATTTTAGAATGTATATATCAAAATTTTTGCTGAGTCAAAAATTTTCCAGGGTCGGGGGGAAAATGTAGTGTTATACTAATTACGTATCATTTTACATTATTTTAAATTCATTTTTCCATTCTGTTTCGATTTTCTGCATTCACCTCAAAACTGGATATTTTACATCACCTTTATTTTCATAGGATCCTGTAACGATTTTAAACCATAAGAACACAATAACAAATCATTTCTACTTCGTATTTTCACATTATCAGCACTTTTAAATTGGTGTCAATGGAGTCTACCTTTTTTCGATCTTTTAGCTAGTTTTCCGTAACTCTACAATCTTGGGCTTTGTGTGGGCAGTTGCGCTACCTTTTTTCCTATATCAATAATATCTCATTTTCCACTTAAATCTTATAGTTTTCTTATTATAAACCTAAAACAAAAATTTGACATGTTTTGTCTTTCTTATTTATATCGTTTCCATGGTAATTATATTCAAATTTGCTACCGATCTGTTATTCCTATTTCGATAATTCCACATAAATCCTCTTTTCTCTTGACCATTTACAAAAAATTTGCGTTTAATTTAAATAATTTTTCCGTTCTCTCTAGAAAGGTATAAAAGCCGAACAATCGGTGAAGAAAGGCAGTCTCGCTTCAGTTCGCGAATTGGAAGTATCTCCTAAAGGCCTTATCCCGGGGCCGCACTGCCCCGGGATCCTGCAAGCCTCCATTTACACGTGAAGTCTTCGGCGAAGCCTTCTTCAAACTCGGACCGCGCCACTCCGGAATCCTACAAGCCTCCATCTACCTCGGAAGTCGCTTCGAGTCTACTACAAGCGCGGGGGCCACACTACTCCGGGCACTACTACTACTTACTCCAGGCGCCGAGAGCACCTACCGCCGGCGCTACCTTTGGGCGCTGCAACTGCTGGCTCTAAGCGTTGCGCGCCCCTTCTCCAGGCGCTACGTGCGCCGGCTCCGGACGCTGCGTGTACTGGCTCCAGGCGCTGCGCGCCGTCGTTGCTAAGAAACCTACTTCTACAAGCGCAAACGGCGTGTGCTGGCTTCAGGCGCTGCGTGCCGTCGCTGCTAAGAAACCTACTTCTACAAACGCAACGTGTGTCGCTTCGACTTTTAGGCCCCACTTCAACGCTATATTCCCCTATTCTCTCACCTTTATTTTTTTTATAATCTAATTGTATTCTCACTTCATTCATCATCATCCTCACATCATTTTTTTTATAAAATTGTAAATACCTTTTATAAATTTAAATATATTGTTTTCTGGCTCTACCTTTGTTGTTTTGTTGTACTTAGGTTAGGTTCTATTTTTTTATATTTTTTTTTTATTGTCGCTTCACGACATTTGGCGCCCAACGTAAAAGTCCTCTTTCTCTCTTAATTCTTCACCTTTACTGCGCCTTGTCCATTCCCTTTTGATTTAATTGCTCTCCCTTTCGTTCTTAACTCATTATTCATCATTCATTTATTCATCCTTTTCATACCTTCCAAATTCTAAAACAACACTTCATCTAGTGTTTCAACTTATCTGCATTATATTTAGACCTACATTTCACACAACACTTACATTCATCACTTTAATATTTTTATTCTAGAACAAAACTTCATCTAGTTTTTCAACTTATCTAGATTATATTTAGACCTACATTTAACACCTTACTTACATCCATCACTTTAATATTTTTATTTTAGATAACTTAAAGAGGTATAATTTTTAATTAAATTTTTATTTCTTAAACTTAACTTTACACATAATTATAACAATGAAAAGGGTTATTAAGTACGAATTCCTTAACAAGGCCGAACTCGAATACGAAGTGAAGATTAGATATGAGGAACCAGCTAATACTGTTTTACTTCTAAAAAAACAGGTTTTGCGTTTAGTTGCGAATTCTCACCCTGAAGATATTCTGACTTCTCCAATTCCGATTGAGGATGACTTGTCTCAAATTGATTCTACTTTGACCTACTTGGACTGTAAAATTAAAAAATTTTTACAAGGCGAAACCAAATACTTGCGACTAATAGAAACTTTTATTAATCATATCTTTTACAGATTGGAACGAATAGATACTGACTTATATCCAGACTTTAAAGCTATTTTCGATACTTTGAAGATGAAATATGACGATATTACTAAACAATTTGAATCCTTGACTCCAGCTCCAACTGAAAATGACCCTCCATCACTTGACCCTCCTGTTGACCCGACTGTCACGGTTGACCCGACTGTCACGGAACTCCCTCTTGTTTCTCAAAATTCGATTCAGGTCCATACCCCGTATCCTCCACCACCACCTCAATCTTTTTCTCCAACCAACGTCTTCAAAGATCTGAAAAGACACACCTTCAATGGTAAAAGCTGTCCAAGATCCTTTCTTCAAAAACTGGAAGAATACTGTATAGCTCGTGGCTTGTCCAAAGACTTGTTGATTTCACAAGCGTTTGAAATTTTCACTGACAATGCTCTTCATTGGTTCAGATTTAAATATAATCAGAATCCAAACTTAACGTGGAACGAACTTTCTTCGTTATTAATCAAAGACTTTGGTGGTTTTGATTATGATCACAAACTTTTAGAAGCGATTAGGAATCGAACTCAAGGTCGAGATGAACCTATTGTCATCTATATTTCCATCATGTCTGGAATGTTTTCTCGTCTTTCGAAGAAACTTTCTGAAACAGAACAATTGGAGATTATTTTAAGGAATATTCGCCCATGTTATTCAGTCTTCGTAGCTCTAAAAGACATTGACTCTATCGACTCTCTTCTGGCTACTTGCCAAAACTATGAAAAATTCCTAGACAGAGACAAACAATTTAAAGAACCAAATGTACAACAAAGTCCTCTTATTTCTGAATTCAACTACAAGCATTCCACTTCAAGTTCAGTTGACTCTCCAAATTCTTCTAATAACTCACGACCCTCTCCTCCCCTCATGAATAAATTCACTCCATCCTACAAATACCCTTCTAGACAAGTTAATAGTCTCTCTCAAACTAAAGCTCCTCAACAAACCTCCTTTTGTGTTCGCTGTCGTAAACAAGGACATTCTTTGAACACTTGTACTCAACCACGATTCGTGATTTGTTTCAAATGTGGTCTTAAGGGTTTTAAAACTGCAGATTGCCCTACTTGTTCTCCCAAACCTAATACTAGTTCAAAAAACTAACTACTGACTTGAAAAGTAACTTAAACTTTGATAACGACGATTGGACTAATTGGATTAAAACAATTCAAAACTTCTTTTCTTGTTACAGAATCTCTTCTACACTCTACTCCAAGGAACAAGATCTTAATCGTCCATTCATTAATGTCAAAATTTATAACTTAACTTTATCTGGTTTACTAGATTCTGGCAGTTCAGTAACTATTCTGGGTAATAATTCTCATTTGGAAATTCTTAAACTGGGCTGCAAACTTTTCAAGTCAGATCTTATTACTGTCTCTACTCTACTCTACTCTACTAATAATCAAAAAGTTAATTCCTTGGGTTATTTTGACTTACCTATTCATTTCAATAATCAAACTCATTAAATTAAAGCTTACGTTTTCCCTGAAATTTTTCCTTCGCTAATATTAGGTATTGACTTTTGGAGAAAATTTAATCTTTTACCTAGTGTTTTATCTTCTCTTAACTTTACAGAATCTAAATGTTCTGCTATCGAAACTAAAGATACTAAAGTTTTACCTTATGAGCATTTAACTCCTAATCAAAAGAACATCGCTAATGACATCATCCAACGCTTCAAGACAATTTCTTTTGAAGAAAAAGGTATCCTGGGATGCACACACTTAATCACCCACAAGATTGACACTGGTGATTCTCTCCCAATCAAACAAAGATGTTACAGACTGTCTCCTGAAAAACAAAAGGCGTTAATTAATGAAGTTGACAAGATGCTGCGATGGAACGTCATTGAACAATGTGAAAGTCCTTGGTTATCTCCAGTTCTCATCACTCCGAAGAAGAATGGTGAATGGCGTTTCTGCGTAGACAGCAGGAAGCTTAACTCAGTTACACGTCGTGA